GCACGCCCTGCTTGTTGGCTCGGTTCGTGCGATTTGAGTAACTAAAATGATCGTTTTAGAACATGAATCCTGCTCGTTCTGGATTATCGAGAAAGTACATCCCTGCTCTCCTCGTTCCGGAGGAAGAGGGCGCGGATAACGAATCTTTTCTTACCCGGCTCCAAAATTGTGTCCGCATTTTCGGCGATACCGGTCAGCTCGTCAACTTGGTTACTGTCTCCGGAACTGATTGTAATTACGGTATCGTTTCCATTTCCTGAACGCGTTGATGAAATGATTTTTAGTTGCTATGCGCCTTCGGCCTGATATGAAATTCTGGACCGTGTACCAGCTTGACGCCCTGCGCTTTTTCGCTATGTATTTGTATTTGAATGTCGAGATTCACCAATTTCTTGGCAACGTAAGTACCTGAGTCGTATGCTGAGCACATTTTGTCCAGCATGGATGAGTTGCCGCTCGATGATGAGTAATTTAGGACGAGATCACCGCGAACCTTTGTCTCGCCATCAACTGGATCGCTAAGAACGCCGAATCGCGCCGCCTTCTCCTGAAATATGGGTTTTATAGGCTTCTTGTTCGATATGTGAGCGTAGCTTGTGCCATCCCGTTGCCGTTTCGCACTGTTGTACATCGCGGTGTCCGCTACACCGCCTTTCCGTACGATTGTTTTCAAATGAGGCGTTAGAACAATTCTCGCCGGTATAGATTCTAGTTTTTTATTTCAGGGATGTGCAAGCTCGTGCCGCTCGGTCTCGGCGAAGTGTGGGTCGGCAAACTGTTAGTTGAACAGTTTCCGGAGGGCTTACCGCGCAATGGCTGTCGCCCCGAGTTTCCGAATCAAGAGATGGATGGCCGGCAGCCTGAAGGGAACGCGTGCTTACCTGTCCATCCCGATACCCTTGACCTCACACGGTTATCATTCCGCTATTGACTCACCTACCCCGACTGGCGAGTCTCGTTTTCTTCGATCCGCTGCATTCTGCCTAACTCCCTCGCTAGCTGCACACATTCGAATGCTTTTTTTACCGTTTTATACCATATTCCGCATTACAAGAATAAACTCGCAATTTCAAAAACAAAACGGTTTCTTGACGATTTTCCCTTATCAAATCGTCCATAATTGCCGCTGCAACTGAAGCGTTTTCTCTCGACCCCGCTTTTCCGAGAATTGCCGCCAAGTGGTCCACCCCTTTGTTTACAAAGAAGCTTCTTTTCGATGAGAATCGGGCAGCGTAACCCCGGATTTGAGTCTGCTTTCACCGGTAGGCTTTAGCCTTTTTGGAGTCGAGAAGCAGAACGCTGAATCCATATCGTCAGATCGTTCCCGCTTCTTATAGGGTTTCATTTTATCTAAAAATGAATTCCGTTATTGCCTTTCTTACGTGCAGCTGCGTGGTGACGTGGCTGAAACCTACTTGCAGTAAAATCGGAAGGGGATATTCAAATTTTGTTCCCGAGCACAGATTTCTTTTCCGACTTTTTCGATTCCTAAAGAGACGTGATAAATACTCCTTATATCGAGTGAACTGTGTACCTAATCGTTCTTCGAAATGGGCCCCGTTTCCAGTTCCGGTTGTACCACTTTAACTTTATCTAGAGTCCGTTTCATCTCTGTTCGAAGATTGCGGCGTACTTGGTAGTTTTTCTGAATCGTGAAGAGCATGACGACAAGTCGTTGGCGATCTCTAGTCTCGTCGGATGCTGACTCCCCGACCATCTAAATTTCGATATGTTTAAATGTACTCCCCGCGCCTTTTCCGGCATTTTTGTCACTTATCAAGTCGTGAAAACCGAGTAACTCGTCACAAGTTGGGCATTTAATCACCCGATCGTCTAGCAGCGGTTGGACTTTGTCTCTCGAGCACGGGAGACACCAGCCAAAGCATTTATCATGCTTGTTCGTTCCTAGCAACTGAGGTCGGGTTTTATCATCGAAAGCTTCGTGGCAATTGCCGCAGAAATCGCTTTCGAGCAGAAGCGACTTCCAGGGCTCGACAACGATTCTTCGACCTGCCATTCTAAGTTTATAATAAGTTTATCAATAACTAGTTTTTGTTATTTCTCTAGGAAAAATCGTCTCTATTTATTCCTGGAACATTTATAATGAATAATGATGCAGATCAAATAACAAACTTTGTTTTAGAAAGATGCTTTTTCGCTTTCGATCCACGCAATAGCCGCCTCTGTCCATTCGAAGGTAAAATGCCGAGGTCGAAAGTCGGCTCGAGGGCCACAACGCGAGACTCTCCCATTCCGACGCGGAGCCGCCTCAAGCGCAAATGTTCAGCCGACACTAACGACAAAATAATGACTTCACATGCACCCGATCGCAAGCGTATTCGACAGGCCATCAGTAACTACGTTTCCATCCACCAGGTCTTTTACTCTAATCTAGACAAATAACGCCAATCGCTCGCTCTGAAAACTTGTAAACGGAAGATATACGAATTGGAATCAACAATCTCGCAATAGTCAGCTCTCAAACGAAAATCTTCCCGTAAACTACCCGCGAGCCCTAGTTACAGCCCAATCCCTTGTGCTGTCTCCGAAGGTGTTCCCGAAAGTGGGTTTATGGACCTGTCTGGATCGTCCGATTGCAGCGACCCTTTGCTCGGATATATAGACAAGGCGTACCACCATTTGTCGGACGTAAACATGCGTCGACGATCGCACACACAACCTTCTTTGCGCTTGCCGGCCTTTCAACGATCATCTACCGATGAGGCCTTGTTTGGAGATGTCACTCCCTTTGGGTAATAAATAACTCGCCATTATTACAACTTCAATCCATATTTTAGTCGCAAACTCTCGTCCGTACCCAATTTATTTCCAGAATTCGATAACGACATGCTTTCTTTATTCCGGCCCCATGACGATCTCTTTGTCCAGCATACGCTTGTCAACATGCGGGAGAAGTTTTGCGGGCATTTTTCATCCGAGCAAGTGGGCCAGGCACGCCTGGCACATCCGTACGTCGACTTCGAACCCTTATTTCGGTAGAATGTACATTTCTTTTCCCTAAGCGAAGTGTTCTAGTTACGTTGGACATTGTTTGCGGGCCATGCAGATCGGAATTTTCTTGGAGTTCGACCTAAAAGTTCCGCCCCGGGCTATTTATGTTCCCCGCGGTGAGTTGTCTGAGGAACAAATTATGTTTGGCCGGAAGTTAGCTTCTACCCTGTCTGTTTATTTGGACCACCTCCAGCGTTACTTTTTGATCGACCAGCTTATTCTGCCTTGCAATGATGACCCGGTACTGGCCAAACATCACGAGATCTCCGCAGCTGTCGCCCAACTCGCGACTTTGTTTTTCGACCTAAAATTTCAGGGCGAGCGCCCTCGTTAATTCAAATTCGATTGCCAAAAATGAAACCAGTTGAGGTTTTCACAATTACTTCAGAAGTAAAAATACTGTTTCGACAAAAACTCCACTGACGAAAGCTCCTGCTCTTCCTCCAACTACTCCGCTGTCCATCGCACAGGAGAAAGAGCAAGTTCAAGCTCAGCTCGACGCCCTCTCATCGGGTCAAGGCCCTTCTCTTCCTGGTATACCTACTATCGACCGTATCGTCCGTCGTCGCACCGAACGACGCCTTGTCAAACGGCTCGTGAAACTCCGCAAGCAGGCGAACGAATGGAAACCTCCTCCTCGTCCCAAATGCAACGCAAGCGCTGCAAAACCTGCTGCCTACGGCGCTTTGTTTGACATTCTTACGACTTTCTTCTGGATTGGTCTCGCTTTGGGCTTCATCTTTTTGGTTCTCAAGGTTACGGGACTTTGGTACTTGATCGTATGGATTTATCAAGCCTTTTGCTTTCTAGTTGACGGAGTGGTAAGTCTATAATCCGCTTAATCTTCATTTTACGTGAATCATAGCTTTGGTGCGTGTCCTGGCTGGGTGGAGACGACGGCGTCGGTGAACAACCCGAGGTCTCCGCATTCAATGCTACCGCTCTTGTCGACGACACCGTCGATTTCATCGCTAACTCTTCTGTCGCGCAGCGCGTCTCGTCCATCGATTTTTCCGGCTTGAAGAAGACCTTCCTCCCTGAATGGCTAACCTCTTTTTCGATCGTCTTTTCGGCACCGATCAGGACCTCTTGTTTTTCCCATCAGCTGAAGAAGTCTCCCACAGTTCTGGGATTCTTGCCAGATCTCGGCGATGGTCCGATGTCTTCGACGATGTCCCCATCGTGACTCGCGAGCAGATGCGTCAGCGCCAGCAATACCATGTGTGGAGATACCTGAGTGGAGATTTGGCGGTGCGAAACCGATTGTTTGGTAAATTTATTAGATTAGCTATATAGAATCTGTTATAATTGGTTAAATCAATCGCTAAACCCTGCATTAGGTTCTCCTGTATCTTCGGATTCATCTGTCTTCTCACGATCGGCATTTGTTGGCGCTTCGAAGCTTGTTGTGAGGCGATGGCCGGCTGCTTTTTTTCCGCTGAATCATCGTCCTGGGCTAAAGAGCGACGCAAACAAAGAAGGACTGCGAAGTCGAAGCACAAACTCGATGAAAAAGCCGCTGCCGCCGAAATCCGATTCAACGAACTCAAAACCAAACAAGACATCTACGACATGCAGGCCTCTTTTTTGATGTCGAACCTCAAGAATCGACAAACTGTGGCGGAGCAGCAAGTGCTTCAGACTGGTCAGGTATCCACCCGAACTGCTGAGCAAATCAGGCGAGCGTTTGCTGCTCTCCAGCGATTTCACGATAAAACTCCCGAGGAGATTTCTACTGAGGAGGAGACCGGCGGGGCTTCGAAATAATTCTGTTGACAGAATCATTCTGTAGAAAACAGAACTATTCTGCTTTAGTAAATTCAAAGAATGGATGTGCGCTTCGCGCCTGTTTTTCAGAAAACTCCAGAATTGAAAGTATCATGTTTTTTGACACTCTCTTTACATTTTTACCGCCGCACTTACTCATTTCGGGCAGCAATCATGCCTTATTTAAATTTTGTTAAAACAGAATAGTTCTGTCAAACAGAATGATTCTGTCAACAGAATTATTTCGAAGGCCGGCCGAGGAGACCACTGGTTTCCGCTCTCGACTCCGAAAGGCAAACCCGTTGAAGGTACCTAATCTTCTTTTCCTTTCGGTTTAAATTAATGTTTTCAGGTCGTTTCTTCTCGAAACTCCCGCAAGAAAGCTCAACAGAACCGAGTGTCTATTGTCATGCCCACTGCTGGACACTCAGCCGTATCGACTTCCCGCAACGACCATGTTGCTGAAACTACCGTCTCCGCTCAACCTAGTGCGTCAGGAGGACAACTTCCACCTGCCTGGTCTTCTTAGCTGATTTGACGCTTCTTATCTCCTGCTTGTTCCACTGTAAATGTAAATATGCTCTCCTGCGAAACCTGCGAAATGCGATGTTAACCTCGCCTCAAAAAAACTGTAAAATATCGAAAAATACAAAAATACTAACAAAATTTCTTATGCAACCGTATTTATTACCGAGAGATAATTTCGTGAGGGATTTACAAGAAAGGGTCCGGCATGTTTTGGCCGTATGGCCACTCCGCCTTATTCGTCACAATGCTTCTTGGTTTTAGGTGCTCGACCATTGACAGTTCTTCTACTTCGTTCAGGAAAATCAGCACAGCCTTGGTGTAGTCGTTCATGTCGTCGCTGTTTCGGTTTTCACCGTCGACTACCGCTTTTATACTTTTAAAACACCAGGTATAATACTTAGTGTTCTCAAGCCCCATCCTTTTGGTACCCAATTGTCCGCACAGCCAATCGATCCCGTTTGGAATCTCTTTCGTCTTGCATATTTGGAACCATGGGTGTCGTTTATTTTTGTCATAATTACCTTCGATGAGGACGAAGTCACCTATCTTTATCGGGCTCACAGTTTCGCCTCCGTACTTATCTTCTTCTTCGAAGGGCTTGAGAACTAAAGGATCACGAATTCTACCGGATGTCTTGAGTCTGAGCTCCGCGTTACGAGACCTTTCTCTCGCTTGGCTCACAAGATCTATTACTTTACTCAAATCTACATTTAGTGTCTTACCGTCCAGCGACTTCCTGTCGGTCCGAATTTCCATTAAAGAATAGCCGTGGGCTCCAATAGTACGGTTCATCTGGTCCGGTAGCTCCATTATTTTAGGATCTCGTTTGTTCCAGATCTCTGCCTGAAGGATCGGGCTCATCTTCGCTATCCTGCTATCCAGCGGCGCGAGGTAATTTTTAGATGTGCTTGGTTTTCCTGGCAGAATCACCTCTACATTCAGGTCCTTCCAGAACTCTCGTGTTTTGATACTCATATTGATCGAACAACCATCCATTAGTATCCTTACCTTTTTATTCAGACGCAAACCTCTGTCGAAGTCGCCGACCGCCCTTAGCAGTATCTCGGATCCCTTCGAACTGTTGTTCTCCGAATTCCGTATGTGATAAATTTTTGAATATCCTGAGGTGATGCATGAGACTACGTTATATTTAAGTGTCGACTCGTCATATCCCTTGTGGGAGTTACGAGTTATTACGTCTGCCAGCAATACCTCTCCGACGCTGCTTGCTTCGTGGTCATTTAATTCGACTTCCTTGGTCACAATCTTCTTTCGATTCCTATGGTAAGTGCACGAAAGGCAGCCGTTCACCACTTCCGCGGCTGTGGCCTCCAGCTTTGGGAACCACACTTCGCTTTTAATCATATTCTTCAGTCGCGTTATTGCGCCGCAGTTTCCGCGATGGAATGCTTTAGCGACTACAGCTCCCAACTCTTCAGGTATGACTATCGGATTGCAGATGCGAGTTCCTACCATTATCTTGCGTAAAACTACCGTAAAATTGCCGGTTGACCGTCATTGTCCAGCATCGTACTACCCCTCAATGACTCCGCTTTCCTATCTTTTGGACCTGGCATTTTTCCTCTTGGGCTTTTGGATTCGATCACTCGGCCCACTACTTTATCGTTTTCTTGCATCTCTCGAATTAGGGCTCTATCTTCAAGAAAGCTTGTCCCTTCTGCCTCCAGGATGCGTTTTTTAAAATTCATCCTACCGGATGGCTTTTTAGTGTTCTTCAACCGCTCAGCTCTTTTCTTGTTACTCCTCGTGACGATCGCGTCTATCTCAGTCAGGTTTTTTTTTTTTCCAACTCGTGACGACTCTTGTCTTCCTCCTTAAACTTTTCGAATCTAACTGCCGGTATAGATTCCACACTTCCAATGTCGAGTTCTGGCCCGAAAAGTGAGTCTATTATCTTCTCGTTTGAACACACCGCGCAATTGTCATCGCAAGGTTTTAGGAGATAATCCGTTCTCGAAATTAAGTCTGCCAGGTCAATCTGAGTCGACTCGCCTTTCTCGTAGACAATTTCGACATTAAAGGTAAGTAGTTTTACTATTTGATCATTTATTCTCTTATCTCAACTTAACTCTCTTCCCATTCGAGCGCGGTCGAAAAGTTTCTTCACGCTCAACCAGTCCGTAATTATCACCACCGGTTTGCTCACATAATCGATTTTCCAACAGAACGCGAGGGTCGCAGACAAAATACAATGGAGCTCGAGCTGACATGAACTCCACTGAGTTTTCAGCTGCACGTCGCCCCTCTTTCTAGACCACAATTTCACAATTTGCGTTGCTTCTCCTTTTTTCTGGTATAAATATCCCCCAGTTCCTAAGTTAGAGCTATCTACTACTAAGTACGTGTCCAAGCTTTTTTCAATCGGGAAAACTCGATCATTTGCGAGTTTATCGCCTTAGACAGCTTTAAGTAACATTCCTTAAGCTCCGGTGTCCAGTCTACCAGCTCGCTCAATTTCTTCTGGCCCGATGCCGCTTCATTAAGCTTCCACATCAAGTCCGTGCGTCTTGGAAGACCAATCGAGAGGTAATTTCATATGACTCATAGGCTATGAGTAGGGTTTGTATCGGGAAATCAGATTTGTGTCTTTCTCCTCAAAAATAAGGTCTTTAGATCAGTTTTTTACACTGATTCTGAAAATGCAAGAGAAAAAACCATCTGAGCTTAGCTTGGTGGTGGAGCGGCTCGGTGCGCGCGCCCGGTGCGCTTGGAGTAAATCATAAAATTCGATCTTTTTTTTCGAAAATTTTGGTAGACTTAGGTTTTCTAAGGTGCTGATTAAGAATAAATTATTTATTTTATTTAATTCAACAAATAAAAAATAAATTTTGCATGTCTTTGTTCCGTAGTGAGAAGTCTCTTTACTTTCGTTAATCTCTCTTTGACTTGCAATTCTATGCTCGACAAGATTTCAAAAAGTGTTAATTCGATTATTTACATGTTGCAACTGCAATGAGTACCGGAAATCCCTGGATTTTAGCATCGAACCACTTGGTTTTGTCACCTTATGCATAAAGGTTCGAACCTAACATGGGGCGCAATTTCAATAGAGTCCGAGCGCGTGGAAGGAAGGCTAGTTCAGCCGCCACGCTCGGCGCATCATCTCCCACCGCGTCGTCAGTTCCAGTCAGTTATCGAGAAATTTCAGACCTTCTAGGGCTTCCCCGGTTTTCAAACTTACATATGTTCTTAAAAAAGGTCCTTTTTTGATTATATATAAAAATCAGAATTTAAAAAAGTCGGTTAGGGCTTCAAAAATAAGAGAAACCAATTTTTTGGCTGCGTTCGCCGCGCAATGCACTATCGCGCCGCCACCAAGACTCCATCAACAGGACATTTGAAAGCCTTCTAGCTTCTTCCCGGTTTTCAAACTTTAACAGACTCTAGAAAAATGTCTGTTCTTTGACATATCTCAAAATCAGACATTCAGAAGGTCGGTTAGACACATAGAGAGCAGGTTTTCTGTAGATTTTCGAGGAAACTACGCTTTTTTGATGAAAATTTAGGTTTTTGAGGTCAATTTATGAACAAGCGTCATCTTTTTTCATATATTCAGAGGTTTTTCACTGAAATTCTTTCAAGTTACGCGAAATAGATTGCCATCATTTTGGGCAAGAAGCGCCTCGCCTAGCGCCGCCTTCCCGATACAAACCCTAGCTATGAGACTATCCATTCGAAATTTTTCACATCAAATTTTAACACAAGAAACAAAGTTTACTAGTGTTTAAAAGATTATCTTCTTAAAACTAGCAAAAAAACATTAACTTACATTTAATCGACCGGGGCTCAAAAAGAGTTTTTTCGAACTGTGTTCAGATTTTTCGTACGCCCTGTGGAAAATTTTTTAGAATTTTTTGAAAATCGCGATTTATGTGAATTAAAGTAGTAATTCTTTGACGTTTGTAAATATCAAAATTTTTGGCTACGCCAAATATAAAGCCTTGATTGACAAGTTATTTCCGATTTCGGCCGAGTTTGGCCTTTTATTGCCGGAGGACCTTCCGGAGGACCCCTGACTGGAAGACAAACTACAGGAGGACCAATATCAGAAAAAAACAGAAAATTGCCTTGCCTGGCCACATATTGCCACATTTTTCCAACTACAGTCAGTTTCTGCCGGAGGACCCCCAGGAGGACCCCCTTACTAGAAGACGGATTGGGCATGCTGTTTTCGATATCACTCGATCGGACTGCGATATTTTCAAGGGTTAGTGCCGATTTCTCTCGCATTAGCAGTTCGCGGATTTTCGGATCTGGAGCTTCAGCAAATCGCTCAATAATCAGCAATTTGTCGTTTTCGCCGAGATTTTTCTGACCATAGGCTTGTTTGAAGAGGCTTATCAATTTGCTTAGGCACATCCCGAAGCTGTCTGAGCCACGATTGTAGGACTTGAACTCACTCTTGTAGAAGTCCGCTGTTTTTCCTAGCATTGTGAAAAGTTCTTCTTTAAACTTTGCCCAGTCGTTCAGTTCTTCTTCTTCCTCCAAGCTCTCGATTATGTGACTTCTTTCTGACTCATTCAGTAAGGTAGTAAGCGCCACTATAATTATCTCGTTGTCTTGCAATTTTGAGCAGCGAGCGTATATTTCGAGGTTTTTCAGCCAGGAAGCGATAGGGTATGGCCCATACCGTATGGGGACTAAACTCTAGCGAGCAAATACTTTCAAAATAACTACTGTTCAATCTTTGAAAAGTGTAACTCTGCTGTGCCTTATCTCCAGAGCTCCAGAGCTTAATCGCTCGCCTTCTTCTCAATCTGAAATAAAACTACACACTCGCCTAAAAACTCTCGTCTGAAAATCACCCCCGAAAATACAACTAGAGATTTGAATAGAGAGTGACTGTCAAAGTCAGAGAGAGCAACCGTGATAGATTGTAGTCTTTAATCTTTAGCTCGAGCCAGTATAGTCCCACTATATTGGTGACTGATCGCTGAATCAAAACGGACGAGCGTGAGTGTCACAGCACAAAAAGAAACA